GGGGGCAGGTTGAGTTATTAACTTATTTAAATGAACTGTATCACAGGGCACACTGTATTGTACTCTGCTGGCTGGTTATAATGTAGTGGCTGGGACACAGGGTAGTGGGGGGGGGGGGCAGGGTTGGCTTGTTAACTTATTGGCATCCTTATTGCTAACATATAAAAGGTTTAAGCACATGTCTTCCACCAAATCTTGTGAAAAAAGCGTTTAAATGTTCATAATACATTATTTCTCAGCAACTTTAAGACAAGGAGAATTGTTTAATTTGATTAACACAAGAAAAACCAATGCTGCATATTCTACAAAGTCCAAAGAAAACAGAATCCAAGCACCAGAGTACTGTGGTTAAAAGAAACAATTACATAAAACTAACACATATCCTCACATGATCATGATATTGTTATGAGATTCTCCCTCAGTTATTAAAATTATTTCTACAATTTTAATACTCTCTACTGCAACATTTTATTGAGATTCATATATATTCTTTTAAAATGTATTCTTAAAACTTAAAAATAATTATGTAATACATTTTCAAAACTTTATGTGATAGCTGGGCACCTTATTTCATACTGTAAGACTCATGGTCATTTACTGAAGATTGATGTTCATACTCTTGCAATGGCTAAACATGATCAATTAAATCTTACCCGTCTGAAATAACAACTAATTTAGCATACAAATGCTCTGTAACACATCTATCATTAAAAGAAAAATACCGTACCTGCAATCGCCTGATCGTTTTCTTTAGAAGTGAAGTCGACCCAACCTTGAGCTTTTAAAAGATCAGATGTGTTCTGTCGAAATACCGAGTCGTGCGTGCTTTTATTATCAAATGATAGATTAGGTCGTCCTCACAGATACAAACTTTATTGATTTATCCATAAATAGTGTTATTCCCAGGTCACATGCTGTTATCAAAGATATGCTTTATATATAATTAAGTCAATGTGATATTGTGGTTGTTGAGACGTACTAGTCGCATGACGTCAACACAATGTATGCATTTCACACCCGTGTATGGTGCGGCTTGATAGTAGTCCAGAGTGATACAATGTGTAAAGAATATATTAGACTCTTAGGGACCATTCCCACAGATATTTGGATCGATCTTTCTTCATGGGGAGTCTCACTAAATTGCTCTCAACCTAATCGGCTTAAATGTCTGTCAAGCCTAGTAAAGTTGTTAGGAGGTAATTATCTTTACCCTAGCTGATTCGGTAGGTGTAACAGACCTTTAAGCCACATAAGTTGACAGCAATTAAGTGAGACTCCCCAAGGAGCTAGGCCGATCAAGACGGATCGATCTAGGGAGGGGAACCCAGTCTTATAGTATATTTCATTCTGGGTTTTCCATATTGCTCCCTTCGTGCAAGTTCGATTAAAATGTCAAAGAGTTGTTAGTTTGTAAAATGTATTTACTTGTCTATGATCAAAGAAGTTGTTATCTTAACTATATACCAGCGGGCAAATTATGTTGTTTTTACGTTGAAACAACGTTGAACCATAACGTTGATAATACGTAGGATTAACATCGGGTTTGAAAGTTGACTCAACCTCAAATAACAAGGTTGTATCAACGTCAGTTAACAACATTGTATCAACCCCAGTTGTTAGACAAAATTCTTGCAGGAAAAGGCATTAAAATGACCTGAGATGTTTTTATATTTGGTACAAAACACAGCTACACAATTATAACGTACCCTGTAAAAACATCCAAGAACCTGCTTTGTCTGATCTTTTCAACGCATTTAGCTCCTAAGCATGTTTTGCACCTAAGCATGGAACAACTTTTTAGCCTGGATGTGTTTAGCAGTAGAACATGTTTGATGGCTAAATATATGTAGGTTATATATGTATGGCCTTTAATTTAAAATTTCCAAGTCTTATATATATATATATATATATATATATATATATATATATATATATATATATATATATATATATAGGCCCTATATA